CCAGGAAAGAATGGGTGACTTGTGAGAAAATAATCAAAGCCTTTTGATTCCAATATATTTAACATCACATGCTCAGCATGGAGATGTGGCATCAACCTTTTGATGTCTAGAACAAGAAATGGGTATGCTTGCAAATTTTAGACAGAACACTATGAATTGATGTATGCAACCTGGAGTTAAAGTCAGTTTTAATCCCAGCCAGGGATTTACATCAGTGTTAAATGGGTTTTTTCTGGATGGAATAAAATTGGATTTAGTCTCCTGTTCTCCACTTTATACAATTTAAGGAAGACACAAATTTCATGTAATTCTTCAGGCTTTCTCAAAGTAGCACCTCAATGGGTTCTTTAATAGCTGAAGGGCTTGCTATAAAAATAGAGGCCATCACAACCATGAATTGACAATGGGCACCATCAAATACAAATACAGAGGATCAATACAGCCATAGAAAAATCCTAGGAGGGAAAAGCAGCAAGAGGGACAGAGTGCCAAAGTGCTTCGAGGCTATCTCTTCAGTTGAACCAATCTGAATAGTTGTTCTAAGGAGTTTATATCAAGAAGCAATGAACATTCTGTTAATGAAAAGTTTTCTCTTTTGGGAACCATGTTTCTTGTTCTGTTGTCCTCTTTTTCATGGGTGTTAACTATGTTCATGAATTGCAACAAAAACAAATAGACTTGGGGTCCCTTGCAGCCTAGCATCTGCACATCTTTAAGATATGTTTTAAAGGTTTTTGTTGTTTTTATTCTCTCTCTCTCTCTCTCTCTCTCTCTCTCATTTTTTATCAAACAGTCAGATTCAAACAAATAGCCATAACATGCTTGCTGCTAAGATAGTGGTTTGAACTCCAGTTTGGGAAATTGACATGCAAGGGCTTGCTTCCATGAGGAGGAGGTCCTTGAAACTAGAAACAGATCTTGAGTCAAGGGCAGCTTAGGTTCTCCCCAGACCCCAAGGCCATCACTCCAAACATTGTGTGGCCACGACTCTCTCACATATTGTGTGGCAACACTGGCTCCCCTCCTAATGGGAAGCAGTGCTCCCCACCAGATACCAGGAAATTATATGTACAGCTGTCCAGGCCACAAAAAACAGCTGATGCAGAGTTAGCTATTTATTTAATGTCTCATTATGTAAGGTAAAGGTTCCCCTTGACATTTAGTCCAGTTGTGTAATGGCGTTCCATGTCTAGTCACGCCGGCCACGTGACCATGGAAACTGTCTTTGGACAAACGCTGGCTCTACGGCTTGGAAACGGGGATGAGCACTGCACCCTAGAGTCTCATTCTGAGGGGCCCTCAGAACCATGCACAGTGAGGAGGGTAAGATGTCATATAATCTGTATCATGGTACAGGCAATTTTCTAAGCCACTCTGTCTACAATGTTTTCTTTGAAGTCCTTCTCGGAGCCAGGTGTACAGAAACAACCAGCCCAGCAGAGCTGTGTGGCGCCAACAGCAACTCTTTAGAGCAGCATGGGCCCTCTCAGGCTGAGGGAAGGTGTGACGGCTGCTTTTGGCACTCCATGATCAGCTTATCCTTCCTAATGGTAGGTTGGCCTTGTCTTGAATTTTAAAGGTATCCATAAGCCACTCCTCCAAGTCCCCTAAATTTAGTCATATCACCTTTCCCTCTACTCTTCTAAAAACAGTTCACAAAGCGCCCGGGCCCCTTTGTCTCCTTTTAATTTATGTTTAATCGTGGCCCAAGGCTAGGAGCTGTATCCTAACTACAGCAGGTGGCACTAGCTGGATGGTTACAACAAATTGCTCCATGGGCTTCTACGAGCAACCTGAAGGTTATAATTTGTTTACTTCAGTGTCCACACAGCTTTTATTTAGCCATGATATTGTTATAAAATGCTAGCTCAGTCTGCAGAAGCTCATGTGTAAACAGTTTGCAAAAAAAGCTGGGGCACAGTTCACACAAGAACTTCATTTCCATTTTTGAGATTTAGTTTGCTGTACTATATCTGATAAATTACTGTCTATTGCTAATAAATTCCATTGTCTTATTGTAATTTCTGTTAAAATATGTCATAATATCAATATATTTATTTATTAAAAAGGAAAAAAGCAACAGTCAAAGAAAATACAGTACAGTACTAGATGTGATAGAAACTACGTAGCAAATCTTTTATCTATAAACAACTAAAATAAGCAGCTGAACATATGGTGAAGTGCTAAGACTGGGCACACTTCTGCACCTTTAATTCAAGGAGACTTTCATCATAAAATAACTCACAACCAGCATTTATGGCTATGGCCATATACAGTATTTGCACATGGTCTATAGGAAACTCCCATGCATGAAACTTGAAATGTGTTAACAAGTGGCAATGATCATGACGAGATGCAAAGGAAGATACAATCTAGGACATCCTGATATTAGGTCCAGTTCTGGGACCAACTTATTTTGAAATAGGTTTCCTACTTAACTTTTTCTGAAAAAAATAAAAACAAAAACAATGCAAACATACAACATACCAGGACCAGGTGACTGACAGAGGTCAACTGCAGTCCATCAACAAAAGCACTGCAGCCAGTATTGTAAACAACTCTCTAAATACAGTGACATATTGGCCAGGGTCAGATGTCACAGATAAATATGAATCTCCCCACCTCCATTGCTCTTTGCAGGCAAACCTATGTATGGTCCAGCATGCTCGATAAAGCTTCCACTCAAGAAAGCGTGCACAGGAATGGGGCCTCAGAATCGGATAAAGTTTTAGGAAACATTCTGTGGCATCATGTTTTAACTTGCAATAGTACACAACATACCTAGTGTGGTGTAGTGCAAAGAGTGTTGTACTAGGACCCAGAAAATCTGGGTTCGAATCCCAGCACAACCATGGAAATTTACTGGAGGAATGAAACTGGTAAAACTCCTTAAATATCTCACTTAACTTGAAAGCACTTTTAAGACTGCTATAAGTTAAATCCAAATGGATAGCATGTAAGAAAGTACCAAATAATGCACTTCAAATAGTAGGAAAAATGCAATTAACGAACAAAATTTGCATTTCTATAAATTAATACCTACATTTAAATTAGACCCTGGCCATTTGTTTTCCTTTCTACTGTAAGCTGACAGAAGAATACAGGGAGAGAACAAATGGTGTTGCTTCTACCAGGATAGGATTTTGATTAGTTAGGAGAAGTCATTCCCTGACAAATTTTCTACGTATTTGCATGAAATTTATATATTGTAATTGTTCCCAAGGCTGTGTCCATTCCAGTCAACAGCACCTGGGGTTATCATGCTGAACTGTGTGAGCCTAGGGAATAAGTCTGCAGGAAGCAACTGAGATACTTTGTATAACTGTCAAGCACAAATTTGCAAGGTGATGAAAGAAGAACAAAAATTACACACACAACAACTGCTTCATTAGAGACAGATTTAGCATTAGAGAAATGTACTAATAAATTTGCTTTGATAACTCCTCCCAAATTGTAGTCACATTTTTTATAAATAAGAATGGCATAACTGAATTGTATAACTTACAAATTTGTTCAAACATCTATTTACTGTAACTTATAATCATGTTTGATTAGTTCTTATACACAACGGACTCTGAAGTCATGTTTAATTAAATCATACAATCACAGGATTCTGAAGTTAAACATAGTGCTGCAGAAATTAGTGTGATGTCACGGATAATCCTCTTAGGTCATCAAACAGCTTAACACATAATTCTGAAAATTATGGAAAAGAATCCACTTCTACTTCACAATTTCTCATTATTTTGTACTTTGCTGCTACTGCAACAATGGCATGGCTTTGGATAACTCTTCAGTGTTTAGAGAGCATGAATGTATAGATAACAAATGAACAGTTAAAAAATATTTCTACAGTACGAGCATCTATCATTTGTGAGACATTTCCTGCATGAAACATATAGATGGATCTCCCAAACTAATTCTACGAATTAAATGCACAGAGGAAAAGAGTGCATTTTATGGGGAGGTATTTAATTTTTGTACACGTTCTCTTGAATTTTGTAAACCCTGAAAGATCAATTAGAGAAGTAGACAGTCACACTGCCTAGGACCAAAAAGAAAAAAAAAAGTGCCAATGCAACAAACTGAGATGATTTTCTGTTAGTTTTGTTGTAGGCAAATCAAGTGGAAAATGAGCAATTTTTAAATGGATCCCTCTAGGGCCAATGCCCAGAATCTTACGGAAATTAAAATTTGTAACTACAGTAAAAGACTTAAGAAGCATTCAGTACCAACATGTCTTGTGATTCTTAGATTGAGTCTCAAATCACTGAACTCATTTCGGAATATTCCTTTATAACCTTTACATCAAAAGGGTATTAGATTACCTAATATTATTGAGGATTATAAACCTGGACCAAGAACATTATCAGACACTATTTCATTAATATTTGTACCATTAATATTTCAAAAATATCTTGTTACCAACCAAAAAACATTGTTCAGTACTTTGCATAATATAAAACTCAATGCACCTTACTGCTTAGTTTAATTGACTGTGCTGGATAAAAGACTGTGTGACGCTTTATCTCTATTTCTCTCTTTCTTAAATAAAAGCCAAAGTCAAAACAGTGCTTATTATAACCACACCAATGAGATCTTTCATATTAAAGTAGTGGCCAACAAGCCTTCAAGCAAGATAATTACTGAACAATGATATTTTGGATTTTTAATTAAATTAATAAGAAAAAAACAGAATGATCAAAAGAGACCTACCGCTTTTCTTTTTTCTTTCTGTTTTTCTCTCTGTCTCAGTAAATGTAGGCTCATATAAGCATGAAACCCTAATACCATCATGGAATTTGTTGTGAATGTTTAAAAAAAATGTCAAATATAGAGTCAATAATGTATTCGGTTCTGAGTCATAGGAAGCTCCAGACCTGTGAGGTGCAGTCATGACTTTGCAAAACAACCTCACTTTCCCAAAATTAATAAAAACCCTGCAGTGATCCAAAATGGAAGCTATATCTATTTTCTTCCTTCCCTCCAGCAGTTCTTACCTTTTTGTTGTTCTCTTTAATATCTTGAGGATTCAGGGACTTGTAGTCACTGAGGAGGAAAATGGAACAGTAGGTATGTAAAGTACTAGATAAAAACAGCAGTTTTTAAAACAAACCACTATCTTAAAAAAAATAATTCAACATAAAAACAGCATCATACAGTAACCAGCAATTTCAAAGCAATCCAATCAGCAAAACTAATAGTGTGGAAAATTAAAAGAATAAATACATAAATATAAATATAGAGATTGCATGTTTCATTGCCTGAAGCTTTCCATCTAAAACAGAAGTTAAGGCAGGGACTTGAGGCTAGCTTTGACAACCAAATCTGCCATGAGGTAATTTCTCCTTGTCAGTGCACAAAAGAGCTACAGGCTTATTTGTCTCATCTCATTTCAATACTCACACAATTTTCATATTCATCCTGAAGTCAGTTCTTCATATAAGATTAGAGAAAAAAAATACATACACTAAAATAATGTGAAAAAAATGGTTTTAGAAGAAGCAATAAGAAGACCATAAGATATGGGCATTTGACATTTCTGTCCTACTCTGTGGGAAGGCTAAATGCACCACAGCATTAAAAAAAATTAATCAGAAATGAAACAGTAAGACGCATAAAGTAATACATGTTTTATTTATTTGTTGCCTTGTTTGATTACATAAGAGTAAGAAAGGACAATACACGCCTACTTACATTAGGTCAGGCCTAAAGTGATGTAATATTGCACAAAAGGACAATCCATTTCTCCAGGATGTGGTGAAATTTGTGATTTTTACTCCTCTATAGTTTTTTGTAACTTCTTTGCACCAAGCAAGCAGAGACTGGCTAGCATTTGGCATCTTCCCCAAAACAGGACTTGGTAGTGGGCTTGGCTGAAAAAGAAGAAAAGGGGGGTGGTATTAAAAAAATAATGGCAGGTGAAACTTACTTAATTAGGCAATCTGTATCCTTTGACATAAATTTAGTTCCTTCAGAGCTGTCAGTTTACAACCATTATAACATGGGAAGGACATAAATCTCAGGTTATAATCTATGATCTATAATATTTGGCACTTATCTTTGAAGGATGTACACAGATTCCAACCCTATATAGGAGTGCAGGCAATTATATTACTGTAAATACAGTTAAATAATTTTACAAAGGTTATAAAAAATTCATACATGTAAAAAGCATCAATACACAGGCTTTCCATACCTGATAAAAACACAATTCTGGCTATCCAACAGCAAAGCATATTACTGTCAAATCTGTCCAGTGATTGCCATTTAGCACTCTGTCACAAAGAATTTACATTAGAATATAAGTTACCATGATATGAAGGTCAAATAATTATAAGAACATAATCTGGAGTGTTTATAAATATAGTTAATATAATACATCAGTATCTGTTATTTTCAACCTTTTCCAGAAATCACATAAAATATTTCTTGATTTTTTTAAAGGTTGGAAGTATTACTAAAATATAAAAACTGTCTCTACAAGTCACATAAAATATTTCTTGATTTTTTTTAAAGGTTGGAAGTATTACTAAAATATAAAAACTGTCTCTACAAGTCACATGAAATATTTCTTGATTTTTTTTTAAGGTTGGAAATATTTCTCACATGTTAAATGAGGAGAGCCTTTTAGGCTTACATAGTAAACTCTCAAACATTACTGTGGAAAAAGGAAAATAATTCCATTCATGAACATGATGACTGGGCTTTGGGGGGGGGGAATCTGCAGGTATACTTCAAAAATATTTCATGTACAGGGCCATCAAATGGAAGTTTGTTTTTTTTAAAAAAACCCAAACAAACAGGATTCCTTGGTAGTTCTCAATAGCACCTCTTTACAAGAAAAAAAAAAAAACTCCAGGACACAATGCCTGTCTTTGGAAGACCAATGATGCCCCCACTTGACTGAAATATGCCAGTGCCAAGCTATTAAGACTGTCATCTTCATAAATATTCTGATTTATGCTTCTTGTGAGGCGGCATGCTTACAGTAACTGTAGCAAGAACAGCTAAAGGTAATTTATCATATTTATTGACTGTTAGACTAATAAGCTGTGATTATACAAGCAAACCCACAGATAAGGGAGAATGATATTATCTAGTTTGTATACCCTTCAGCAGCACAGAGACACAGTGCCAAATAATCTGCAAAGTTTTACGGCGTTGCTAGTTAATGTTCTAACGCTTGAAATTATAATTAAATTATATAGTAATGACAGACACAGACAAGGAGCCAGTTGACTGTGTGAGGAGTGAAAGAATTCTTGACTGGCAGGTGCTTTGTAGACTAAAGGTACCGTAGTTGCAAATAGTCACAAGTAAGCAAAAACAATAGAGACAGAAATACTCTATATCCACCATTTTTAATTCTGCCTGGCTTTCAAGGATATCAAGATGGTCCACATGTTCCTATCCCTTCTTTATCCAGAAAAGATGTCTGTCCCCAACAGACTCCAGAGTGTTAGGCAAGCCGGACTCTACCATTTATTGGAGCCAGCCTGCTGCAGCAGCTGCTAGGAAAGCGGTGGCAAAGTGGTAAAGGCCAGATAACCTTCAACAAGTGGTATCAACAAAAGGGTACCACGTGCCCTGCTTTGTGCTTTCTAAGATAGTCTTTCTGTCCTCAGGTATGTATAGTAGAGGATCCCCTCTTGTATCCTGTACTGAAATGACATCCAGCTGCCAGCCTGATTGGTTTCTAGATGAAGAATGATGGCTAGGTGTCAATAGTACTATATTAGGTTTATTGTCAAGCTGTAAAATATCTTGGGTAGACCATCCAACACTTGCACTGAAATAGTGCTTTCATCACATCCCAATAGCAATCCAAACAAAAATACTTTGTCGCAAACTGACCAAAGTTAATGAGGAAAACAGATGTTGGAGATATTAGATTTTCCCCCTTCCCCAGTTTTGTTCTATGCCACTATTTCCTTCAACTGCTTTTCCACTGCTGTTCCTGCCTTCCTGTTGCCTTTTTACTCCTGAATGACTCATATGGGTGGTTCCACACAATTGCATTACATTACAACTGCAGATGACACCGCAATATATTGATGCATTAAAAACAACTGTAAAGATCACTCTCAGCAGTTTATAACAAAACACACACTGGATAGTTTACACCAAAATATTACCAAAGTACAAAATTGTTCCAGCTCTTTTCTTATTAAAACTTATCGCACTCATAGCTGTGTTTTAAATCCTCCATCAAAGGTTTAAAAGTTACTGAAAATGTATAAATATAAAAGAAATGAAAACTGTTTTTAAGATATTAAAAGATAATGTTTCTGCACCACAAAACAGAAACAATTTATTTATCAACTGGGGATGATTGTCTGGGAAACCTGAGAGTTACACATGAGCCAGGATCCAAAGAAAAGTCTTTAATGTAATAGCTCACTCCAGTCCAGTGAAATAATGTGAAAGCCCACAATTTTACTTATATAGTGGTGCCTCGCATAGCGAGGTTAATCCGTTCTGGATTAACCTTCGCTATAGCGAAACATCGCTGAACAGATAAAAAAAAACCCATTGGAACGCATTAAACATCGTTTAATGCGTTCCAAATGGGCCGAAAACTCACCGTTCAGCGATGCTTCCTATGGCTGGCAGCCATTTTCGCGCCCTCGTTAAGCGAGGGGAGGGCACGAAAACGCTGCGCGCGGCCATTTCGGGGCTTCTGGCGGCCATTTTGTCCGCCTAACAGCTGGTCGTCGGGGCTTCGTTTTGCGAAGATCGGTAAGCGAAACGCTTGCCGATCTTCGCAAAGCGAGTTTCGCCCTATCTAAACAACGTTGAGCGATCGCATTAGCGATCCCAAAAAAGGGATCGCTATGCCACTATTTCCTTCAACTGCTTTTCCACTGCTGTTCCTGCCTTCCTGTTGCCTTTTTACTCCTGAATGACTCATATGGGTGGTTCCACACAATTGCATTACATTACAACTGCAGATGACACCGCAATATATTGATGCATTAAAAACAACTGTAAAGATTTACCTATGTGATTTGCCTCATAGGGGCAAGCAAGTGTTGCTTAAATAAAAATTTAAGGTTTTATAAAGTTCAAAACCTATATTTATTTATTTATATTACCAAAGTACAAAATTGTTCCAGCTCCTTTTCTTATTAAAACTTATCGCACTCATAGCTCTGTTTTAAATCCTCCATCAAAGGTTTAAAAGTTACTGAAAATGTATAAATATAAAAGAAATGAAAACTGTTTTTAAGATATTAAAAGATAATGTTTCTGCACCACAAAACAGAAACAATTTATTTATCAACTGGGGATGATTGTCTGGGAAACCTGAGAGTTACACATGAGCCAGGATCCAAAGAAAAGTCTTTAATGTAATAGCTCACTCCAGTCCAGTGAAATAATGTGAAAGCCCACAATTTTACTTATATAGTGGTGCCTCGCATAGCGAGGTTAATCCGTTCTGGATTAACCTTCGCTATAGCGAAACATCGCTGAACAGATAAAAAAAAACCCATTGGAACGCATTAAACATCGTTTAATGCGTTCCAAATGGGCCGAAAACTCACCGTTCAGCGATGCTTCCTATGGCTGGCAGCCATTTTCGCGCCCTCGTTAAGCGAGGGGAGGGCGCGAAAACACTGCGCGTGGCCATTTTGGGGCTTCCGGTGGCCATTTTGTCCGCCGAACAGCTGATCGTCGGGGCTTCGTTTTGCGAAGATCGGTAAGCGAAACGCTTGCCGATCTTCGCAAAGCGAGTTTCGCTCTATCTAAACAACGTTGAGCGATCGCATTAGCGATCCCAAAAAAGGGATCGCTATGCGATTTCGTCGTTGTACGGTGCGCTCGTTAAGCGAGGCACCACTGTACAGCAAATCTTCATGCCATTTTACAAACTGTTTTGAAAGTGCCAACCTAGAAGTTCAAAAGCATGTAAAAATGTGAGTAGATAAATAGGTACCACCATGTGGGAAGGAAGGTAACGGCATTCCATATCTAGTTGGGCTGGCCATGTGACCACAGAAACTGTCTTCGGACAAATGCTGGCTCTACGGTTTGGAAACGGGGATGAGCACCGCACCCTAGAGTTGGACACAACTGGACTAAATGTCAAGGGGAACCCTTACCTTTACCTTTTGAAAGTGCCTTCAGCTTTAAAAAAATGACTTGCCAGGAAGTTGCACGGCATTCCATATCTAGTTGGGCTGGCCATGTGACCACAGAAACTGTCTTCGGACAAATGCTGGCTCTACGGTTTGGAAACGGGGATGAGCACCGCACCCTAGAGTTGGACACAACTGGACTAAATGTCAAGGGGAACCCTTACCTTTACCTTTTGAAAGTGCCTTCAGCTTTAAAAAAATGACTTGCCAGGAAGTTGCATTCCATTTGAAAAATAAGAAATATTCAGAGACAGTTCTCAACCAGAGTAGTTAATAACACTTTTATCATGCATTCATACGCATCCCTTAGCGTACAAAACAGAAACTGCTTTCTTTGTATATCAAGCAGGCATCTATTAATATCACGGTTGTTTTCTGTAGTTTCCACCTTGAATACACTAAGAACAAATGACCGAACGTTTGCTGTACATATCATATCTCTAGTACATGTCTTGTTTATTTGTGGTACAGGTAGCTAAAATCAATACCTGCATATTAAGTAACATGCAACAGCAGAGTTAGAAAATGCTTGAATATCAGTTTGAGATAGAGAGAACGGAAATCTCCTTGTTGTATCTAACTTAAACTATAAGGAACAAGTAAAATATTATTTGTTGATCAATATGCCATATCTTCAGTTGCAATAGAGGAACAAAAGCAGCATACTTTCTGGCATGCACCTTGTGCTAAATTAACAGAAACACAGCATAGCATTCTGAGCAAAGCAACCCTTA